GCAAATTTTGCATTTGTTTTTACATGTTCTTTGTTCATGCTCTTTATCATTTTTCTGAGTTGGAAAGTTAGATTGCATCATAGTTTACTTTATACATATTTGTATTCTTCAGTGGTGAAGTATATTGCAAAGCAGCTCAGCCATGTGAGAAGACTTTTGGCACTTTTTCGTTTTTCGTTTTCTGAGTTGGAAAGTTAGATTGCATTCAAAATGTACAGAAATACTTAATTTTGTTAAAGCTTTTTATAAAAAATGCTTCTGACCAGAGCTTTGTTTCCTTGTCATTAATGTTGAACACCACCAGAGGGGCTCTCACCTGAAAGGTCTCTGCTTCATGTGTCTTCAGCAGAAGATCTAGACTTTGATTGCTATATTTTCAGTTAATATTGACCTTACTGAGCTTTAGCCATATCCGCTGCCTATCATAAAAAATGTTAAGTACAGTGAACCTTTCTAAAATATACAGTAGTAAAGAGACAAACCCACCAGCATTATAGTAGCCAAATTCTTGTTTGTGGGCTGTATATATAAAATTGACTTGAAAAAGTTGCTGATTTTAGAGTACTGGCACCTTTTTCATTCCAATTCAAGCACTGACCAATTCCCCTTGGTTTCTCGAGTGCTGCATTTGGGTTCTCCTTAAGCTTGTGACAAAAACCCACCTCACTTTGTGCTTGCAGCTCACCAACTTGGGATCCAAGTTCTCACACCAATCTCACAAAAAATGTATAAAGGAGAGGCGAACTTTGGATGTATTAAAGATTTACCGGCCTGATTTTTCCAATTGTAGTTGTTAATCTTCCTCACACTATTGAAATTATCTTTATGTGATTTTTAACCAACTTTGTTTTAAACACATATGTTTATTGACATGCATACGTGGCCCATCTTACGTGAGTTGATAAGAATAAGAGGAATTAAATACGCTTTTCCTTGTAGTTCTATAATCAGCCCAAAGAAGTAGCCTTCACCCATGCTGTGCTTATCCATGAGTTAATAATTGTTAAGAGAACGCGTGCACACGCAGTAGTATATGGCACCACTGATGATATGGGTTTTCTTTCTTATCTAAAGGTGATGATTGTTAGTAGTCATCAGCACTAACCTTCCAACTGATTTAAAACTGACTACTCCTTTCCTTTGCATCAGCCTGGGCTTTTGTGTGCTCAGAATGAATAAAGGCACACACCCTTTGGCAGTTGCTGGGTTGAAGAAGAAATAAATGAATAAAAAAAGATAATTAGATACAGAGATGCCACGTAGAAGATGTACAAAAGCATCTGTTAGAACAGAGTGTACAGGGCCGCCCCTCCCTACAGGCCAATCACGCAGGCTGCATGGGGCCCCGATTTGCGCAGAGGGCCCCGCCCAGAGGGCCTCAGCTGCTGTGCGCAGTTCTCCGCTCAGTTCTCCGCGCACCCCCCGCGAGAGTGAGAGTGAGAGGTGACAAGGGGAGCACGTCTGTAACCTATGGGCATAGATATGTCTCATAATTATTTGTGTGAACATAAAAATAATTTGTGTGTAAATATGTGATTTGTAAATGTAAAACAACATCCACAAATGCATTTAAAAGATTTGCAAACTCACAAATACATTTGCAAGTGTAAAACGGATCTGCAAATACGCTAAATATGTTCACAAATAAAAAAGATCTGTGAATATCTCTTTAACATTTACACCTTTCGATCAGGCATTTGTGAATCCATTTTGTATTTGTGGACCAAAAATGCGCTTGCGGATCTCAAATCTCTGTTCACGGATCTCAAATCTCTGTTCGCGGATCGTCTTTTTACACACACGGAATTTTGAGACATATTTTCCGCCGGTCTCGGCTAAAATCTACTCGTGTCACTCGGTTATTTTCGGAAACCACGTGATGGCCTGCTGATGACGACATTTCCGCATGATTTCAAAGTAAGAGCATGATGGTTTGTTTAATGCTCTGTTTTTGTATTATAATGAACAGCGGAACGTTAGATGCATTCTTCATCACCATCACCATCATCATCATGTTATAGTGATACAGTTAGTTTGTGTTATTGGTTCAATATAGCATATATCGAGCACTTTCGTTGATGTTGAAGTGCAGGCTATACGCCACTTTCGGGTCTTGGGGGAGCAGCTGGCAGTGAAACAGCCCAGATAAAACTCTTTCTTCATTGTTTGTTGTGTATTCAGTCAAGCGGGTCGAAGTTACAAAGCACTTCACATCTTATTAATCGGCCTAATTTTACCTTACCAGTGCAGTAATAAAGTAATCTGTAGAAAAGCACCGTATTTAGGTCAGGGTTATGGTGATGAAGAATACATCTAACGTTCCGCTGTTCATTATAATACAAAAACAGAGCATTAAACAAACCATCATGCTCTTACTTTGAAATCATGCGGAAATGTCGTCATCAGCAGGCCATCACGTGGTTTCCGAAAATAACCGAGTGACACGAGTAGATTTTAGCCGAGACCGGCAGAAAATATGTCTCAAAATTCCGTGTGTGTAAAAAGACGATCCGAGAACAGAGATTTGAGATCCGTGAACAGAGATTTGAGATCCGCAAGCGCATTATTGGTCCACAAATACAAAATGGATTCACAAATGCCTGATCGAAAGGTGTAAATGTTAAAGAGATATTCACAGATCTTTTTTTAATTTGTGAACATATTTAACGTATTTGCAGATCCGTTTTACACTTGCAAATGTATTTGTGAGTTTGCAAATCTTTTAAATGCATTTGTGGATGTTGTTTTACATTTACAAATCACATATTTACACACAAATTATTTTTATGTTCACACAAATAAATATCTATGCCCATAGTAACCCGACACCGTTGCAATGAATCGACATCTGACCAATCACGGCTTTGATACGGCCACTAGTGCAGGTGAAGAGATGTCGGTGAAAAGACAGTTTCTGTCCGGCACAAGCAAGAAGAGGGAAAAAAAACAAAACATGAAGAAACTACTAGAGCATCACTCGAAGGTGGGTTATTGCATGAGTCAAATGTACAACTTGCGAATGTTGTATAAGCAAATTGCCAATTGCCATATTAAAACATCAGCTGCAATTCACGACATGAAGAAGGCAGTCTCTGCGCATAGGCTAATGGAGATGCAGTTATTTCCAGCATTCTTTATTTACCATTCATTCAAGTATGTTATGCCTTGTATCTGCTAATGTACAGGAGGAAGAGTGATAAACTGTCTTTCTAGTTGGCTAACATAACAGTTCAAGTTTACAGCCTAAAAAACATGGAGCATTTTTCCCCCTTTTATTCATTTTTATGTCAATTTGAACATTTCATGGTGATGCTTAGCCTCTCCCCTTAAGGCAAGGCAAGGCAAGTTTATTTATATAGTACCTTTCAACACAAGGCAATTCAAGTTGCTTTACAAAAATGAAAGACTTCCAGACAAAGGCATTTAAAAACAGTAAAAGATAATAAAAGAAAAAATACATGAATAAAAAGTACATGAATAAAAAGTAAACTTTTACTCCTAACAGTCATCATGTCAACCACAACACAGAGAAATACTGATAGAAATGTGTGTGTAGTTGTTGATACATTGCTGACAGAGGGAACTACATTTGAATACAGATTTAAGAAGTATCAGTTTTTGAGCATGTCATAAGCATGTTTTGTCTTGACTATATTACAACTATATTATAATAAAATAATATAGTATTTATATTATTGAATGGATTATGATTATTATTATTAGTAGAAGTAGTTTATTTGCATTCATTATATTTTAATCTTTTTGAGGCTAGTATTTGGCAGGAAATGCAGACGTATTCACCTGTAAACGCATACTGAACGACATACATGCACATGTACCATTTACTTCACTGTATAAAAAAGTAACTGTTGATAATAATAATAAACAGGAATTATATTTGCAAAGTAGCCTACTTTGTTTCCAAAAAAAAAAAGTTCACTCCTGTCGGTTGGGGGGGGGGGGGGGGGGCCTCATCTCACAATCTCGCTTGGGGCCCCAAGTTGGCCAGGGGCGGCCCTGAGAGTGTATATAGGTTACAACTGATCTTCAAACTTGTAGATAACCTCAGTTTGACCACTATTAATTACAATTACAAGTAGACCTCTTTGGTTAAGGTTACAGGTTTCTGGTTTATGCAGCGATACATATTTGTATTGCATGTTACAGCAAGGAAAGCCCAGGTGTATTAAAAAACATTGATAATTGATAGTTTCCAATTACTGGTAGTTGCTGTTAGCACACACTCAGAGCTCACAGCTCCTCATATCTGTTCAGAAACTGGACAAAAGTTAAACATATACAAAACACAGACTGTCTACTCTATGTCATGGCGAATACAGTTACTGCTTTATTTATGTCTGTATGACGTTGTTGTGAGTGTGGACGGAGCAGCAACAGGTTAGTTTTTAGCCTGATCGATCCGATTCCGATAGGATTTACATGGAGATACGCCCCGCTCTCTCTCCAGCGCATCTTGTTTGAATGAAGTAAACACAGCTGACAGCCGCGGTGAAACTTGAGCGATTAGAGCGATGCGGAAAAATACACCTGTACACTGTCGAGATGTCAAATATGCCTGTTTTACACACTTTGACCAACAGGGGAGCTTGTGTTCAAATGAAGCCCATGATGAAGCCTCATGAGATGAACCCTTTTGCGAACCAATTGGTTGGAAAGCTTCATAAAGCTTCATCTCACCATCACTAGGTGCAGAGTTGTGATGCTTTAGCGTCCTCTCCTGTAAATAAACAAAACGTACACTGGTCGGTGGTGATGTTGTTTACCAAGGTATTTTCAGACGATAATATATTGTACTTTATCTTTACGGAGTGGAAAATTAATCTTTATGAATAGTTTGTAGGCCTACAATTTAATTATATTTACAAATAAACGTCAAATATATTGTGGCGAATCATGCTTCCGTGGGAATTGTAGTTTCCCCCCCTTGAAGCCGATATATGTTTGTCACGTAAAACACTCAAACTCCCGCGATACCACGGTGCTCTGCTAAACCACTAACGTCGGCAGGTGCACGCCTACACTGAATAAACCCATCGACTGTAATCCTTACTGTACACAGCGGAATCTTCTGCCTCACTATAAGTGTGTTACGAATAAAGCAACAATGGACAATTCTGGAAAGGAGAAGGAAGCGATTCAGCTAATGGCCGACGCTGACAAGAAATGCAAGACCTCTGGCTCTTTTTTGGGAGGGATGTTTGGAGGGTAAGACAGCACTGCACCAAAGAACAAACAGCTAGCAAGCCTTAACTGTTAGTAGCTAAGTTAGCACGCAGCCGACCTTAATGTAGACATACATTTAGCTGGTGCTGGATATTAATATTAGCAATACATTGTAAAGGTTTAGTTAGATATTAAACCAGTGTGACGACACCTGACATTCAGTGAATCGGTTCCTGTATGTCAGTGAGCTAGGTTAGCTGTCAGTATCATTGTAAACAAGGCATCTCTGCTGAACCTAGCGCTAGCTTGAAAGCTACGCAGCAGGCTGTTTTGGCTAGGACTAGGATATCTGCTTTGACTGTATGTTCTACCTTCACACAGTCTCTGTAGTGTACAAGGTACATGTCAATATTGTTAAATTGTCTTATCAGTTGATTTCTTTATGATTACATGTAATTGTATACTGAAATTGATTTTGATATAGAGCTACACCACTTCTGTGGAAAAGCTTAACATACGCTCCTCGAAAGCCTTGAAAGCCTAACGTCGTAATACCTGAGGTAATGGCCGAAAATCTATAGCTTGTAACACAACAGTATTTATACGGTTCGATTTGAATAGTTACTTACTCAGTGCACTCAATGACACCAGAATAACATCTTTGCATAGCAGCCATTTTTACACACGTTGCAGGGTAAACACAGGTGTAAGTAATAGCATTAGATTTGGCCATGTTCCATTTAGTTGTGCCGGTGCCCTGGGGTTGTGTATGCTGCTCACTGGCATGACTGTGATACACTAAATAGAACGGGACCCTAATTATTTTGTATCGATGACACCTGTGTTTATACTGTAATGACATATGCTTTGAAAATGTCCTATTTATACCCAACACACATAGACCCAAGGTCTTATGATGATGCAAACCTTAAACACAAATGTAACAATTCATGTACTTTCCCTTGTTATTAATTTGACCTTCAATCGTTCATTAAAAAAGTGATGTGATTCTCGCTTCCCTATCTGCTGTCATTACAGAGTAACAGACACTCCTGTCAGAAACCTATTATTCATTAGTGACCTTGGGGAGATGATTTATATGGTTTCATATAAATCTAATAATTGCATATATTTTACAATGTCATAGAGACAAGAAGGCTTTGTTTACATAGACATCAAATTAACAAAGCCAGCAGTTAATGTTCTCTTGTGACTCAGGGTTTTTGTTCAAAGCTTGGTCAAAGGTGACCCCCAGATGTTAATTGTCGGCAGTTCTCTTGCGTGATAACTTTTTGCAGGCTTTATGCTGTTAATTCTGTGGCTGACCAAGCAGTGACGTAATCCTCTGCCATGATTGAATGGCCAGCGTATTATTATAACTCCAGGGAGCTCCCAGGGGTCCACTTTCTGTCATGGTGGGAGGGAAATCTATAATGCTTGTGTGGAGGATTTATACAAGTCAGTACACCAGTCTTAGCATGGCAACACCCTGAGCAATGCACCACGTTCTACAGTTCATCACCCTATGGTGCCATTAAGAAAGTTTATTCGATATAACTTTAATATGAAAGTCAGACTGGGTATTTGTTTTAGCCAGAGTATGCCATGGAGACTGTATGCATTTGTGAACTATATTAAACTGTGTACATCTGTTTTCTTTTGTTTTACTTTCTTGTCTAGAGGACCTCAGAAGGTGGAAGAAGCATGCGAGATGTACTGCAGAGCAGCAAACATGTTCAAGATGGCCAAGAACTGGAGCGGTGCGATGAGCTGTTTTTTTACTAAAGAAAAATCCACCATATCAATTAAAAAAAACTTCAGAAGCTGTAGGATTATGTGCTGATCTTTTGTCACTATAACTGCAAGCACAGCACTTGTAAAGGTGCCACGAGTGAAAAAAGGAAGAACAGTGGAATTATGTGCATAAATTAAAGTGTAGGCTCAATGAAAAGTAGAAAGTATGTGTGTATGTGAAAGTCTCTGTCCTCTTTTCTTTTGTCTTCAGCTGCTGGAAATGCATTTTGCAAAGCCGCACGTCTCCACATGCAACTGCAGAACAAACACGACTGTGCCACCAGCTTCATTGATGCAGGAAATGCTTTCAAGAAGTCTGACCCCAATGGTGAGAACATGTGGTAACTCATTAGGTCCAAAATCACAACTTACATTTTAGTGCCTGAAATTGTAGACATCAATATTTGCACTGTTAAAGTAATTAATGATTTACTTTAGTTTCAAGCTATGAGCCTATATTTTATAACGAGACCGATTTCACTTTTTTTACAATCTGCCTTTATTGATTTGCTGTTTGAATGAATTATAATATGCGAGTTATTACCCTTGTTATGGAGTTTCCAATTAGTTGAGTTATAGGGCTCTTTGTACTCTCTGGCCTCAATCAATCGTCTTCCAAATATAGATTAAGCCATACTTTAGGTCTAGGTTGTGGTTTTGTTTTACACTTCATATTCATTTGATCCTAACACAGCATAACAGGTGCTGTGCACAATGTTAGCTTTGAACAAAACTAACATGATGTCTAATTATTCCCTCCTCTTGCCTTTATGCTGCTAAAAGAGGCAATCAAGTGTTTAAATGCTGCCATCGAAATATACACAGACATGGTAAGGTCATAGGGTAAGATGCATATAGAAAGTGTCCATCTATGTTCTGATCCAGAAACTAGCTGTGTCATTGTACTTACTTTATAGCTGAGAAATGTTAAATGATGACGTCTACTCTTCTTGGATTCCCAGTATTACTGTAGATCTAACATCACATCATTTAGCTTGCTACCTGGACCAAATTGCCTACTTAGCATTCCCTTTAGCAAGGATTTATTTCAAAAGCTTAAACCTTGCTTGACCTCGCCTCTCTGCACTGAGAATGTAATGCATGCAACACATTGACTCTGGATAGATCCAGTTAGTAATGATTTATCTTCTTCTCCTCCAGGGAAGATTCACCATCGCAGCCAAACACCACATCAATATCGCAGAGATCTACGAGTCTGAACTGGTGGATATTGAAAAGGTAAGAATCACACAATGAGATGTTATACAGTAGGGATTCTACCACCATATTTGTTTGAGGAACACACAACAGTATTTGTGTAACATGTTTTTATTTTATTTAAAGGCTATTGCACATTATGAACAAGCAGCAGACTACTACAAAGGGGAAGAATCCAACAGGTAATGTAAAATACTGCATGTTATGACTTTTTCCAGCTCTGCAATCTCTTAAACTGATCATTACCATAAAGGCCCTGACACACCAAGCAGTGACCAGAGGACTCGCCGACGTCGGCTGTTGCGTCGCGGTGTTCTCCTGCGTCTTGGCCATGTGTCGCACGGGAACACACCGCAAAGACTTCTGTGCGTGAGTGGCAATAACTCTCCTTACCAGCAGGCGGCGGTAGTGTGTATTCGTCATTAAAAATAGGCAACAACCGGAAGACAGAAGAAGAACAGACTGCGTGATATAAACAACAACAAATAGCGTGTGCGAACTGCAGCCTGGTTATGATCCACTGCTGTCTGCCCGTCTTTGGTGCTCCACAACTACCCGAAGGGGCAAGTCTCCTGTACCGGGTGTACTGGGTTCGCAGAGAATCCCACTTCTTCCTCAGCTCTTTCTCTGAAGCACACAAATAAACGATGTAACCATTGTGGCTAGTTAGCATGTCCAATTCATATCTATATGCAGTGCCAAACTGCACAGCTAGCAACAGCTAGCAACAAGATAACAACAAAACACAAGGTTGAAATAACAAATTACATTTCACGTTAACGTCACTGTACGCTGGCAAACAATAAAAAGCCAACAGTATCTGCTAAAGAGCTCAATTGATGAAAAAGATCTTACCCGAGAAGCCAAGTTGCGTTTCAATCTCTCGCCAGAGTCCGGTTTTCACTACTCGGTTCGAGTACCTTTTCTCTGTGATGTCGTACAGAGCTGGCCTCTCCTGGATCAAGGTGATGAGCAAGTCTTCGTTTGCGTCATTCCAGATCGCCATGATGAGATGAAAATGAATATCAGTCTGTGTGTGCCTTCTTAAATCGTTTGTTTACGTCCCTCACTTCCGTTTCGCTTCTCATGCACTGATTCGCTAGCTGAACAGCCAATCAGAGTGATTGTTTGGTCCGACTGCCAGACCCGATGCATGGCCGATTCAACATGTTGAATCGGCCATGCATCGGGTCTGGCAGTCCAAATAAGGCGTGTCACGGTCGACGGTGCGGGACACACCAAATTGAGTTTGGGCGACAGGACACGCTTCGTCTCCCGACTTACGAAAACAGCCGAAATCGGCCTGGTGTGTCAGGGCCTTAATAGTAGCACACTTAGTGTAGCACTCTTACTTTCAACACCATGATATTAGGATAAAACTCATTAGGATTAGAATGTTTAAAACAATAACAATTTCACTTTAGATTATTTTAGTAAATTAGTTTAACAAACCTTCTGCTGGATAGCTTATACTGTATGTCTATCTCTATATCTCTCTCTGTGAGCATTTTCACATTTTGAATCATTGCATGGAAGGCACAAATGTCTCTTATTACCTTAACAAGCATATCATTATTATTTACACCAGTGTTCACTCTGCTATGGCATGATAAAATACAGCAGTAGCACTGAAAAAGGGCCTGTCTGCAGAATGACATTAGTTTTCTGCAATGATAAACAAGCAGCATTTACCAGGTTAGGTATGGATTCAGATCAGAATACTGAATGCTACAAAAAATCCCACTGAGCTTATAAAGGATTACCGTGCTTTCTAAACTTATCTGTTGATAATAAAGTTAACGATGGCTGTTTGACATTTACAGTAGATAATCAAAGTTATTGTTACCTGTGTCATCTTCTACTGTTAACCATCACCATTTTCCATTCTAATGTACCATGCTTTTGAACTGCAAACTAGTCACATGAATGGATCAATTGATTCATACTCCAGATGTATAGCTCTCATATTTCGTGTTGTATTAAATGTTTTGTGTACCTTTTGCACTTTTCCATAGCTCTGCCAACAAGTGTCTGCTGAAGGTGGGGGCTTACTGCGCCCAGATAGAGCAGTACCAGAGGGCTATTGAGATCTACGAGCAGGTGAGCACTTCTTGTACTTGTCATACTTCCTCAGCCCAAACTGATTTGGTAATGTTGACATTTCTAAAACAGTTTTGGATGTATTTAGGTTGGAGCTAACACGATGGATAACCCACTGCTGAAATACAGCGCCAAAGAGTATTTCTTCAAAGCTTCCCTCTGTCATTTCATCGTCGATGAGCTCAACGCTAAGGTTAGTTTATACCGCTGCGGGGTCAGTCTCAGGATTTTGGACTGTCAGTTGGTTTAACACACTGTCTCCACAGATTGCTATTGAAAAATACGAGGAGATGTTCCCCGCTTTCTCAGACTCTCGAGAATGCAAACTGCTGAAGGTAACTCGATACTAAAAACCCTGAGGATTCTGTTAGCTTACTTTTCCTTCTTAGTCTCTTCAGTTTCTATGAGTAACCTACATTTCTTTGTCTTAACAGAAACTTCTTGAGGCTCATGAGGAACAGAACAGTGAAGCTTTCACAGAGGCAGTAAGTCTTGTATAACCTAACAAAGTTTTGAAACTTTTGGAGAGCACAGGAAATCCCTTTGTTCAGCTGCTGTCCTGGGTCCCCTGTGTGTTCAAGAAAGTTGAAAGCTTTATCTCAGGTATCCACTCCGTCTGTTGATATGGACGTCCTACAGACTGGTGGAGGGCGTCCATATATAACTGAAAACAAGTTTTAAAACTTCATTTTAGAAAGTGAAAATATATTACATAAAGCACAGTCTTACATGGCAGATGTTGGGAGAAATTTGAATTTGAACCAGTAAAGCATTACAAATTAACCCTTGTGTCTCACTAAATCCTAAAATAGTAGAGTTAAAAACTGCCATAAAATATATAAACTGTATATAAATTAATGTACTTCTTTGAATTTCACTGATTATTTGTTATTATAGGACTTACAACGTTTGGAGAAAAAAACTCACACCCCTGACAAAATGCCTTAATACAGCCGAAAATGTCCTTAGTGAGGGTAAACTAAGTAAGCAGAATTTTCCATTGTAATCCTCATTTGGGAAATAATCTTATTCCTGTGTTCCCCCCCCCCCCCCCCCCCCATGCAGATAAAAGATTTTGACTCTATCTCACGTCTGGACCAGTGGCACACAACCCTCCTACTGCGCATCAAAAAGACCATCCAGGGCGATGAAGGGGATTTAAAATGAAGAAAGAATCTGGGGTGTAAAAATGCAGCACAGAGGGACAAATCCATCATGCATGCTTACACACACACACACACACACACACACACACACACACACTTTCACTCACCTCACTGCGTATAGAATCTGAAGACGACTTTGAATATTCCACTACTGCTACACCGTCAGAGTACTATCTTTGCTTTCCTTACGAGCGTATCTGAATCTAGTCAGACTGTAAATCCTCCGCCCTCAACTCTGTCTAGAGGATTGCTGCATACCCTTTTTCTGCTGGAATCTGTCCTGGGGGGGGGGGACAGATTCCCCCCCAAGCACTGCATGTTTTGTACAATTATTGTTTCCTAGTCAGAAGCAGCTTGTTTTTTTAAAATGTAGTTTGTTATATTTAAAACAGTTATTTAAATGTTCAGTTTGTTATCAAGAATGTACTATTATATTTATTTTGTATTTGCTGGAGTAGGTCAATGTGTTGTTAGGAATTCCAGCCACATAGAAAGTGATTTTGTTTTCCAATGTATTACTACATGGAGCGACTCTTCTCGAGGAAGACCAAGGGTAGACTGTTAAACATTTTGATCTAATCACTGATTCTTTCCCTAACACACGTGCATACTGAAATTACTTCTGCTTCTTTTAATATTACTTTCGATTTCTTCATGTACTTTGAATGTTTGAATCTGTGGTTTCTAGTTTGCCTGTGGAAGAATGTATCTTTGAATGAATAGCACTGACGTGGAAACCTTTCCTCCTTATTTCCAGGGGCAGTAATCTTAGGGGTTGTGTGCATCATTACTCATCTCATGCTGTGTTGTGATGTGAACTTATCCTCGAGGGTTTACTACTGCAGTTCCCCTTCCAAACGGCCAGTCGCTAAAGCATGTCATTGTGTATAGATTAGCCTCGTGTTACATTCTCTAGTGTGAGCCAGACCAAAGTTTTTACTAAAGGGTCGAGTCGCCCTCCGCATCCAGCTTCTTCCACACGGAGTGACAATGGACCTTGGATATGATCTGTATGCTAGTACGAATGGACAATAATAAAGATCTTATAATCCCAGCTGTGTTCTCCTACCTTTGACCATACTTTTTAACCAGCAATGTAATTCACTTCTAAGCTTTGATAGTTTTTCAACATTCAACAATTCTATTTGTCGTAAGGCTTATAACATTTTATTTGCCAGTTCAAGGATTATCCCAGTAACTGCATTTTTCCAGCAGTACAAAAAACCTTATAACTGAAGTTGAACTATTCATCTTTATGTTAGTCCAGTTCTGACCTTACTGCGCCATGTCCTCCTTACATAACCGTGATTTGATTTCTGTATAATGGTTAGTGTGCATTTCCCTACAAAAAATACAATTAATTACATTTTCTTGCTATGCATTTGAATAGGAGTCACTTACAATTAAACAGCCTGAAGGAAAATTACGAACTTCAGAGGCATTTCTTTATTTTAAGAAAAAAAAGTACAACTTTCATTATTGGGTGTAGCCGGATAAAGGATTTCATGCTGTTTGAAACACAGCTGTGGTAATGTGTACATGGTTCTAAAGAAAGAAAAGTGACAGAGTTTTGAGGGATTCACACAATCACACCATAACAAATCCTCTGCAGTATGATTTATGCCACGTTTGACTCTATAATTGATGAAATATGTACAATATTATTTTATGATTACACTAATATCTTAGTCATATTTAGATTTTATTCCTGAAACATGATTTTAATTTTTTCTTGATAAATACCCTCACATTTTAGAGTGCGACTAACACTGAAGACACCCCGGTCTGTTAATGAAACAAAGGACTTTGAGATGACAGTAATGATGAAACACCACATGGTCAGAACACACACTCACACAGCTAATTCCAAACGTGAAATACCATTTAAAGGGTGATTTTAAATTCTTCCCACCCAGATCAAATTCTATATATTAAAAAGCATTTCCTACACAGCATCTTGAGCTAAGGGATCGTCTAAGTCTGCTGTCCTCTGCGTTCCATCACCTTGGACAGCAGCTGTTAGTTCATTTGGGCAAACACCATTACCGATTACCACGGTCAGGAGATCAGGCTGCGAAATATCCGCCTGGGACGTGGCCTTCGTTTCTAAAACTGGAGCTAAAATGGTCTGTGAGACCGCGGCTTCCAGGACAGATGACGTAGGAATGGTTTGGATCTCTGACGTGAACGAGCCATCAGAAACAACAGTGGATGTAGACAGAGACATGGAGGCTTCAGAGTACATGGGCAGACTGTGAGCAATGGACACTGGTATGGAGAAAGGGATGCCTGACCCATCTATGGAAATGATGCTGGCCCCCGTGCTGTCAGTGGTTAAGATGGGCTGGATCTGGGTCCCAGGGGGCATCTCTGTGTGGATGACGGTGATCCCGCCGAGGGCCCCGTGGCTGACCAGAGCGATGGCCCCATGGCCGGTCCACTCAGGTGGGAGGGTCACAGGCTCAGAAGACATCTCAAAGGAGTCTGTGTGAGTGTTTTCAGAAGCAGCAGCAGCAACATTATTTCTTTTAGCGGTGCTCCTTTTCTCCTTTGCTCCTGCTTTTTCACTCTTTCCCTTTGTAGGAGATTTTGGTTTCTTATCCTCCACATTTCCCTCCAGAACCACAAGGTAGGTTTTCCACGGAGCGCTGGAGTCATGAATCTGGAAGTTTGACAGGCTTATGTTATTTTCACATCGTTTACCGTGGAGGCATGCGTGGACACTTTTACTTTTCAAGGAAGCACAGGGTGAGTGATTCAAATACAAATGGTTAAGTATTTCTTGACCAATATCCCCCCTTTTCATCAAGGGTAAATTAATTCTGCCACAGTACAAGTTAGATCAACACTGGGCCGACATGAAAGATTTACAAGGGCTCCCTAGACAAAAAGCAATGGGATTTTCTCATTGGATTTCGGAATATGGCAGAAAACAAAATCTTGGCAAAAGCATGTTAATGGTGGTTACTAGTTTCCAGGTTTTAGGAGTTATTCCTGCGCCACTATACAGTTCAAAATTACCCTATGGGATCATTGTTGCTACAGTAAGATAAACGGTGCTCACCATAGTGTGCCTACGGAGGGTGGACTTGTCTGTAAAGGTGCGCCGACAGAGACCACACATGTATGGCTTCTCTCCTGTGTGGATACGCTGGTGCCTTTGGAGGGCATTGAGCTGGGTGAAGTGCTTGTCACAGTCTTTACAGCTGTAGGGACGCTCACCTAGGAATAAACAGAGATGCCAGAGAATATATAAAGTTTGTAATCAGTAGACAACTGGTTTCAGTATTACGCCTACGAATTAACAAGAAAAACAGAGGTCAGCGATTTATCCAATTACCTGTATGTATCTTCAGATGCTGGTGTAGGGAATTCCTCTGAGCGAAGCCTCGGCCACACTGCTCGCACTTGTACGGCTTGGACCCAGTGTGGATGTTTGAGTGGTGCCTCAGGTATTCTTTAGATGCAAAGCTCTTCCCGCAGGCCTCACACATGAAGGGCTTCTCTCCTAACAAGAGGGAAATAACAATCTATTCAGTTATGATCTGATACGTGAAGATAGCCTTGTCTTTATGGTTGCAGGCTCACTTTAGAAGACAGAGGCAGGGTTAAAGATGACGGTCTCAATAGTTTCTTACCCGTGTGTGATCGCTTATGATAGGCCAACATGTGTTTCTGAGTGAACCTGGACTCACACTCATCACATGCAAATGGCTTTTCTCCTGTGTGAGTCCTACATGTAAGAAAACAAGAACATTTAGCTCAACTTTTAGTAACAATATGGCGCCTTTTAGCATCTTTAGCGAGCTCCGTACCTGCGGTGCATCTTGAGTGCAGAGTTCTGGGTAAATCTGGCCCCGCAGTCGCTGCACTCAAAAGGCTTGGCCCCTGTGTGTGTCCTCTCATGCAACAACAGGGCAGTTTTGGAGCTGAGAGCCTTCCCACAGTCAGTGCAGACATGTCTCATATTGTTACGTTCATGTACCTGAAAAGCAGAGGGAATGAAAGACATATGATCAAATCAGGGGACGTTATATTGGACTCTCGTTCTTGTATGTAGTTACTATAAATCATCACCTGTCTTGTATGGCGGACAACATCTTTCTTCCTTTTGAAGGTCTTCCCGCAGGAGTCGCAGGTGAACAGCCTCTCGTTACTGTGGACGTGCTTTTCGTGGATCTTCAGATTGCTACGGTTAGCAAAGGTTTGCTGGCAGGTCTCACAGCGATAGATGACATCTGCTTTTACTCCATGATAAGTACTGGAGAGCAATAACCGAAATATATCATCAAATGGCATTGATGATCATCTGACAGCTTTAAACTTTAAAGGACAATTTGCCTTATAAGATCAATTCATTGCGTAACATTTCATTTAGCTGATGCTTTTATCCAACGCAACGTAAAAGAAGTGCAATAAAGCATGAAGATAAAAACTAACGGCAAGAAACCTGAAAGTGCATTAGCTTCAAATAAGCCTTACTATTGAAAGTGCTTTGGCATCATTCTCGATTGACCTAAATCTTTTAAGTACTACAAGTCAGAAAATAATGATTGTAGGGTTGTGATTGCACAGCGCTGTCTCCAACAGGGGAGCTGGTAAACAACATCATTGTTATAATAACTTCCTTCATGCAATATTATCTACCATTTTCGTAATTTGTGTAAGGACACATTTCAGTATTAAATTATTGCTTAGCTATATTCCATTTTTTGTACATTTACATTTTTTTGCAATATGACCAGGCTATTTAAGGCATACTAAAACAATCAAATAATGCTATAATACCAACAAGAAACACACACAAATGTGTACATTAGCTTGTTAGCTTGTAAACAGCTGTGCGCTCTGGAATTCAAATGTCATACTAGAAGCCTGGCCAAATTCGATATATAAGATTATTTTCAGAAGCTTTGGGGTTTCTATGGAATAAATCAATGTACTATACCTAGCTAATTTTTCCTACCTGATGTGCTTTAAGTAGCTTCTCTCATAATGGAACGTCCGCTGGCACTTGTTACACTGGAACTGGGCCTTGGAAGTTCTTTTGGATGTCTCCTTGGATTGTCCTTCCTCATCCTCATCCTCTTCATCATCCTCCTCTTCTCCCAGAGATAATAAGGACTCCTCACGATCACTACTCTGTACATATCCCTCACATTCCCAATCATCTACATCAGAAGCTGGCATTCCCAAAGATGATTTGTCCCCATCCTCTGCCTGAGCCTCAGCTTCAGTCCTGTCTTCATTCTCCACTGTGTCTTCATCTGTAACTTGGTTTTCATTGTTGATGCTAGCCACTTTTTTGGTATTTAAATGCCTCGGAAGGATTTTACGACCAGTCAGCCTCAGTTTTAGTTTTTTTATGTGTCTCTGATCACTCTTCACTGCATTCTTTGCCTTTAATCTTTTTGAAAGTACTACTTTGTCAGAGCTTTGAGGAGAGAGCCGCCGCTTGAGAAGTACGCGTTTAGGCTGCTTCTTCCCCTTGGTCCCTTTTTTATTCTTAGCGTCATGTAAATCACTTTTACCAACATCCTCAGATTCAGTTTTCTTTGTAGGTTTTTGTAGGATTCCAGCACTCATGGCCTCACCACATATCTGTGACAAATCTTCACAGTCCAAAAACTGTGCCGTTGCTTGAACATCACCAATCTTATCTCTGACAACTTCAACTTTACCAGTGTACACAAATTCCAAAAACTTTGAGAAATCATTGGAGTGCATATTGGAGAGTAATACTTTGTCTCTGGTAGCATCCTGAGAGAGGAGGATGTCCCTGAAGTAGCCGCTGGATGCTGCCAGCATCACCTGATGGGCCTGGAACTCCTGCACTTCTCCCTGGTAGTCTACCTGCACGGTGACATCACTCAGCTGTCCCTGCAGCCTCAGCTGATGCAGAGAGGCCAGGATGTTCTCATGGTGGGACTTAGAGGTGAGCTGGACCACTTTGAGGACCATCTTTTTATTGTGCTTCTGAAAAAACAAACAGAAAAGGGGGAATGGTGACTTATAATGCTAAACATAATGTGTTTCAATTCATTTGTGTACACA